TCCCTTGCATGGGAGCATGCTTTAAAAGGAGACTGTGGATTAAAGCTTTCAGTTCTGCTCCTGAAACTGTGTGTCGTCCAGTTATTGGGATTGCTGTTGGGATATTGCTGTATTTTACCTGCTGGAAACCTTGCCTGTGGATTTACTATTTACTTGTTCCTGAGCCTCACTTGGATTATAAGCGGAGATAACCTAGGGCATATTGCATCTCCGCTACAATAAGTATATTAGATTTGGTGTGTAATGTATGGAGCATGTATGTATGTAGGTGTGGGGGTGAAGGTATGTGGAGAAGAAGTGTGTATGAGGTGGACTCTGTGTTGGTGGGAGTGTCATGTATGTGGGGGGTTCACTGTCTGTGATGGTGTACTTTGTTCAGGGTGTGTAGAGAGTGGCATAGGGAAAAGCTTTACAATTTTTACTTTAATAATTGTTTACAAAAAAAAAAAAGAAAGAATATTCCCCTTTCCTTCATCTTACCTTGCAGGGAGGGGTGGCACAATCGGATACATGGTGGTTGAGTAGTCTGCCTATCCATCTAGTACAGGGGAGATCACGAGATGAGATTCCAAAATTGTTGAATGGGTTAGGCAGTGGCTGAGTGACAGGCAACAGAGGGTTGTAGTCAACGGAGTATAGTCGAAGCAAGGTCTAGTTACCAGTGGGGTACCTCAGGGATCTGTACTTGTACCCATTCTCTTTAATATTTTTACTAGTGATATTGCAGAAGGTCTTGATGGTAAGGCATATCTTTTTGCTGATGATACTAAAATTTGCAACAGGGTTGATGTTCCAGGAGGGATAAGCCAAAAGGCAAATGATTTGGAAAAAAATTTGAAAAATGGTCAGAGCTGTGGCAACTGACATTTAATGTGGATAAGTGCAAGATAATGCACCTTGAACGTAAAAACCCAAGGGCAGAGTATAGGATATTTGATACCCTACTAACCTCAACATCTGAGGAAAGGGATTTAGGAGTAATTATTTCAGATGACTTAAAAGTAGGCAGACAATGTAATAGAGCAGCTGGAAATGCTAGCAGAATGTTTGGTTGTATAGGGAGAGGTATTAGCAGTAGAAAGAGGGAAGTGCTCATACCATTGTACAGAACACTGGTGAGACCTCACTTGGAGTATTGTACGCCATAGTGTACTGGAGACCATATCTTCAGAAGGATATTGATACTTTAGAGAGAGTTCAGAGAAGGGATGCTAAACTGGTTCATGGATTGCAGGATAAAACTTACAAGGAAAGGTTAAAGGAACTTAAAATGTATAAGACGAGACAGAGGGGATATGATAGAAACATTTAAATACATAAAGGGAATCAACACAGTGGAGGAGGAGACAATATTTAAAAGAAGGAAAACTACCACAACAAGAGGACATAGTCTTAAATTAGAGGGGCAAAGGTTTAAAAATAATATCAGGAAGTATTACTTTACTGAGAGGGTAGTGGGTGCATGGAATAGCCTTCCAGCTGAAGTGGTAGAGGTTAACACAGTGAGGGAGTTTAAGCATGCGTGGGATAGACATAAGGCTATCCTAGACTTAAGATAAGGCCAGGGACTAATTAAAAGTATTTTGAAATATTGGGCAGACCTAGATAGGTTGCGCCACAGTAAACCGTAGAGCAATATAAAATACAAATATGTACTTACATATATCAAACAGAGCAAAATATACAATAGTCCTTGGTGTTAAAATGGGCAGGAAGAAAAACAGGTAGGCTTGCAGGAGCTTTGGTTAGATGTAGGTCTATATGTATTGCCGATCTTGAAATAGTCGAGTGCTCTTGGTTCAGGTTAGAATATGTGAATAAAAAAATAGAGAGACTCCAATAGTGCAGACTGCAACAAAAACGGAAAGGAAAACTTCACAGCAGGGTGGTATGATAACTTCATGATAGAGCTAGAACTAGTTCGGGTATAACTGGCATTCAGTGGCGTTGATCCCCCACTGGTAGGATATAGGTGTTGGTAGGCGGAGGAGGTCTTCGGTATGGATAAAAAAAATAAATCCAAATATAGTGCTCACTGTATATATTATTTAGAATGTTAGAGTTGGAAGGTAAAGTACTCACATTTGAGTGAGCAGGATGTACTGCTCACTGTAGTAGCGTGGGTGGTACAATCCCCACCTAGGATTCTTGGATGGATGAATACTCCAAAGTTGTGAATGACCAGGTTAAAATAAATAAAATTAAAATAAAATAATATTTTAAAAAATAAGAAAAGGTATATGGCACATACAACATTAAGAGGCCAATATTCCTTTAATAACACACACACAAAAAAAAGAAATTAAAAACAGCCAAACGTGTTTCGCAACACAGGGCTTTATCAACTGGCAATAAAAATAACAACGTGGAACATGAAAGGTTTTATAAGCTTTGCAGTCAATTTCTAATTCAAATTTTGGTGCCAAAATGACGTCATTTGCATAGAACATAAGTACAGTATAAATCACAATTAAAATATAGGCAGGATAACAAAAACATGATCAATATCTAAAATATATTTATTTAGTAAAAACAAGTGTTTTATTTTAACATATTTTAATAACAAATTATGAAAAGTGTTCACCTGATAGTGGCTTATTGCGGTCACGTGGTCTGCCCCAACCAGTTATGGGAACATTGTTACATATAGTTACATAGTTACATAGCGGAAAAGAGACTTGCGTCCATCAAGTTCAGCCTTCCTCACAAATGTTTTTGCTGTTGATCCAAAAGAAGGCAAAAAACCTGGTCTGAAGTGCTTCCAATTTTGCCACAAACTAGGAAGAAATTCCTTCTTGACCCCAAAATAGCAGTCAGATGTCTCCTTGGATCAAGCAGCTATTACCCCACTAATTAGAAATTATATCCCTGTATGTTATGTTTTTGTAAGTATTTATCCAATTTCAGTTTAAACATCTGTATGGACTCTGACAAAACTACCTCTTCAGGCAGAGAATTCCATATCCTTATTGTTCTTACTGTAAAAAAAACCTTTTCTTTGCCTTAGATGAAATCTCCTTTCTTCCAGCCTAAATGTGTGACCTCGTGTCCTATGTATAGCCCTGTTTATGAATAGATTTCCAGATAAAGGTTTGTACTGGCCCCGAATATATTTGCATAATGTTATCATATCCCCTCTCAGGCGCCGTTTTTACAAACTAAACAGATTAAATTTTTTTAACTTTTCTTCATTACTAAAATGCTCCATTTCTTTTATCAAACGGTAACGCCCCCTTCCTGAGATAAACCACTACTTGTAAGGGATGGGCAGGGCTTCCCCTATGAGTCACTAGATAGGGGATTGACTGGGCGGGAGAGATCGTGGGACAGACGCATTGTATGTGTTCGTCCCACGGCGATGCATTATGGGAGAAGTAGTTTTCGGGTAGAGCATACCCAGAAGTAAATATGAATATGGATGGAAATAAAAAAAAAAAAAAAATTTGCAAAAGTAATAACAATGGAAGGGTTAATTAACCATAGGGAATAAATATATTACATCAAGGATTTGAATACAAGTGCATTTTCAGCAAGGGATGGGTGTTTTACAGCTGGATGTTAAAAGCAAGTGATCCCCTGGTGAGACAATTTCAATACAAACCCTTATATATAGATTTAGACCATAATATAAAGTGCATGGCATAGTTACAAGCAAGTTAAATAGAGACAGAAAACACACTTTAGGGAACACAGGCTATTTTTTGAAGAATTATCTGGCACCCAATTACGTTGCCAAAGAGCCCGTCTTGATGCTACAGTAAGGACCATGCTTCTGGAGATAGTTTTAACCAAATCTATGGAAGCTTCTGATGAAAAATCAATAGCCAGCTTCATTTTCCTTAAGGATTCCAGCAGCCTGGATCTACTGACTCCACTTGATATGTCCTCTTCAAGGTCATCCATCCACTGCTTCAAGGCCCTAGAGACAGATGTCAGGGCTACAGCAGGACGAAGCCCAGAGCCAGAGGCTATATAGGCTTTGGACAAATTTGAGTCCGTACGTTTATCCATTGGATCTCTTAAAGTACTGGCATCATCCAATAGAAGGGTGGTCTTTTTAGCTAATCGGACAATAGCTGCATCTACTTTGGGGGCAAGGTCCCAATGGTTACTGTCCGTAGCCTTAAAAGGGTATAGTTTAGAAAAACAACCCTGAATAGAGATTCTTTTTTCAGCCTTCTTCCATTCTTGCTTAATGAGGTCCTCAATGGTCTCATGTAATGGGAAAGTAGATTTACACCTTATCAGGTCAGCAAAATGCTTACTAGAAGCTGGTTCCTCCCCTCTCTTATCATTAAGCTTCAAGGTATCATGAACTGCCTTGATTAAAGCTTCTATTTTCACACTGTCTATAAAGACAGGAGAGGCCTCATATTCCTCATCTTGAGATGACAACTCGTCTTGCTCAAATACCAGGGGTACATATTCATCAGAGCTTAAGTCAGCATATTCCTCTGGGCTAAAAGATCTACGTCTTTTCTTAGCCCTCTCAGACTGTCGAAGACCCTCTGAAACTGCTTGACGGATGTAAGAGAGAACATCTGGGTCCGGTTCAGCATGGCCTGCCGCTGCTTTAAGACAAGCTAAGCAGAGCCTTTTCCCAGGAAGCACCTTGTCATCACAAGCTTCACATAAGGGGGTCTTATCCTTCTTTTTCTTGTATGAGGACCTATGGGCAGAACTGCAAATCCCCCAGTCAGAAGTCTGAAATGCACTCTTTTTTTTTTTTTGTCTTTAAAAATGTTGTAGTGACTTACTCAGAACCTCTAGATTGCGACCTATTTCTCGAAGCCTGACCGGGGGAATCCATAGTATGGGCAGCTAAAAAAAAATAAATTTGAATTTCCAGCAACCAATTATTGCTTTGAAAAGGAGTGGGGAATAGAGAAATTACAGTAAAAGGACAAGAAATGTCACTTACCTGCAGCCAGAAGACAGAAGTTTAATCCAGTTATGCAGAATTACATCAAACAGCATACAGACAGAATAGAGGTGCTTACCCTTTAAATATAAGATGCCAAACCAGGAAGTACATCCCCCTGCTGCTGGCTTTCCTCTGGCATGTGTTCCACCTGCCTTCCACTGCTGGAGAGAGGGAAAAGATAGGCCGAAAAACCGGAAGTGCCGAAAATATCGGCGTGCGTTCCACCATGCGTTCCACGACCGGAATGGATCAGCTACAAGGAAGCAGGAGCCCACCCCCAGTCAGGTAAATTCTTATTTCTCTGCCACTTACATCCTGAGGATAGGGCAGGCCATCTTTATTGGGAAAGCCAAGAAGCCCAAGTTTTTAGCAGCAAGTAGGTGAACCCTTCTGTGGGAATTAATACCTCTCTGGGTCTGGCACATCCTGCTGCTACCTATAGGGTTACTGCAGCATAGCTCCCCGGTCGCTAAGGGGAGAATCCTCCAGGGGGTCGCTCTTGGTGAGGCGCCGTGTCCTGAGGCTTCCATGAGGAGAGAGGCTGAACTCCCCATAGGCCAGGGGTACAATTAGACCCAAATAAGTCACAAAAGAAAATTTTTAGAAGATGCAAACTCCACTGTCCCTGAGAAGTGGACAGGAAAAAAAGACTGAGGGGGTATAGGGGGGAGTCTCTTTTATTTAGGAGGTGTTCCTGTCCAATTGAGAAGGGGAGGAGCTATACCCATACGTAGTGCTGCCATGGATATATCCGGGGAAACAGGAAGGTCAGATTAGAGTTTGCCAAACAACATCTAAAAAGGCCTTCACAGTTCTGGAACACCATCCTATGGACAGATGAGACCAAGATCAACTTGTACCAGAGTGATGGGAAGATAAGAGTATGGAAAAGGAAAGGAACTGCTCATGATCCAAAGCGTACCACCTCATCAGTGAAGCATGGTGGTGGTAGTGTCACTGACAAAAGCAGCAGGATGAATTCTGAAGTCTTTCGGGCAATATTATCTGCTCATATTCAGCCAAATGTGTCAGAAGTCATTGGACAGCACTTCACAGTGCAGATGGACAATGACCCGAAGCATACTGCAAAAGCAACCAAAGAGTTTTTTAAGGGAAAGAAGTGGAATGTTATGCAATGGCCTAGTCAATCACCTGACCTGAATCCAATTGAGCATGCATTTCACTTGATGAAGACAAAACTGAAGAGAAAATGCCCCAAGAACAAGCAGGAACTGAAGACAGTTGCAGTAGAGGCCTGGCAGAGCATCACCAGGAATGAAACCCAGCATCTGGTGATGTCTATGCGTTCCAGACTTCAGGCTGTAATTGACTGCAAAGGATTTGCAACCATGTATTAAAAAGTGAAAGTTTGATTAATGACTGTTAATCTGTCCCATTATTTTTGGTCCCTTAAAAAGTGGGAGGCACATGTACAAACTGTTGTAATTCCTACACTGTTCATCTGATTTGGATGTAAATACCCTCAAATTAAAGCTGAAAGTCTGCCGTTAAAGCACATCTTCTCCATTTCATTTAAAATCCATTGTGGTGGTGTATAGAGCCAAAAATATTAGAATTGTGTTGATGTCCCAATATTTATGGACCTGACTGTATTCTGTTTTGCATGCACACGATATACTGTAGACATCTTACGCACCCATGAGTACTTCATAATAATTATGCAAAGCCTATGCTTTCCTGCTGATATGTCTGTTGGTTACCACACCTCATGTCTACATGCCTAACTATATTAGCACATACAGGCGTACTTCCCTGCAGCTAATATAAGCTTAACAAAAAAAAACAAAAAAACGGGCTGTCTCATCTAAATGAAGCAAAGTGATGTCTTTCAATGTTCATAACCTAATGTAGCATGTTTCATTGTGTATTCTGCAATTTCTTGCATTTGTTGTTGTGATACTGCAAGCTATTTTGTTACTTATGCACGACAAAAATAAAGATTTACAAAATAAAAAAAGAATACATGCATGTTTTTTTTTTCTTCAAGTCACAATCCATATAAGCTGACATCAATTTTTAAATAGATTATAAAGGAAAGGCATCAAAAAATGATATGGGGAAAAAAAAGAATAAAATAAATTAAATAATCATCTTATGGGATTCATAGTTTATCCCAGATAAGATGGAACTGCTGTGGAGGTTAAAGCTTGTACAGTGTAAACTTCCTCCTGTGACTTCTATGAGGGAGGAGAGTGTTACAACAAAATCTGGTACATCATATTCCTTGCATTTATACAACTATGCAGACCTTTTATCATTAAACCAAATAAATATACACAAGAGGCTTTCCCATGCAATCTAGTGATTCCCCATCATGTTTAACACTTAGCAACAAAGATTGTGGATTGAAAGTATTCTTTGGCTTTCATCAAAATCGAAGCCAACTAGGATGTAGAAAATAGTGTGAAAAAAAAAAAAAATTAAACCTCGTATCATAAACAAAGGATGAATTATTAACTACAGAGTAAAGAACAAGTTGTGTTTGTTTATCTGGATACGACTATCTAAGGTTCCCTTCAAACATGTATATGTATGCAGTGGTGTAGTGTGGGTGGGGTCACAGGGGTAGTTGCCCTGGGCACAAATTGTGCTGTGTGCCATCAAAGATCTCCCTCACTGGCCAACTGACACTTAAACTCAGAGAGGAGAGGGGAGAGGAGGCCACAGGGGCTCTAAACTGCAGCTCCGCCAGGTTTGGCATGTTCCTCTCATGGACTGTAGCCAGAGGAGCTGTAGTCTTGAGTTCACTCACCACTGGACCACCAGCCAGGGCTTATAATGTCAACCCTCAGGCCCAAGGTAAAAAGAGAGGGGGGATATAACTTTTTTTTATTTTTTTATTAGGGGGCACAATATTTGCATTGACTTGGGCACTGGCAACCCATGCTATGCCACTGTATATGTACCTAAATAGCTAAACTTAATACAGCTTTCTCCTGAGAAAGTATGCAGTGTTTTAATATTTATTGGATCTTGGCCAGAACCTGCTCGATCTGAAAATCCTGTTACCTTTGTCCTTACTTGGTTTTGAAATGCTTTGATAATCCCCAACCTGGGAGGTTGGGATTAGCTATGTTTTTACCTGCAATACAATCATCAGCTTCTTTTCTTGAATATACCACATCAGACTGTAATATTTAAAGTGACTCTGTCATCTGAAATGCTGTTAAAGAGCCACTCTAAGTACAATATGCACTCATTGTAGTGGTTAAGGTGCAATTCATTATTGGCTGATGCTTTCCAGTAGTTGACAAAGCTGAACAGAGCCCCACTGCAGGTGCAGCAGTGGGGCTTTGTTTTCTGTGCCGGGGTGAATCTATTTATCAGTAACACTCAAAAATGGTTTGAGAGAACATGAGGGGATGAACCTAAACATTGTAGTGGCTATGGTGCATTGAATATTCCTTAAAGAGACAACATAGACATTAAAATAACTTTAGCTTAATGAAGCAGTTTTAGTGTATAGATCATGTCCCTGAAGTATCACTGCCCAATTCTCTGCCATTTAGTAGTTAACTCACTTGTGTTTCTGTTTATTATGCCCTAGCCACACTCCCTCATAAGAAATGGTTTCATTTTCCATCAGATGTAACTTAATTTAGAAGTTTTTATCTTCAACTCTATAAATTAACCCGTTAAGGACCGGACTGTTTTGGTCGTGTTGTACATTAAGTACCAGGGCTGTATTAACACTTTTGTGGTGTTGGTGTTTAGCTGTAATTTTCCTCTCTCTCATTTACTGTTCCCATACAATTATATATTGTTTTTTTCAGGACAAGAAGGGCTTTCTTTACATATCATTATTTGTATCATGTCATATAATTTACTTTAAAAAATAAAAAATTTGGTGAAAAATTGAAAAATAAAACATTTTTACTTTTACTTGAAAAATATTTTACTTATCTACAAAAGCTAATGAAAAAAAACCTGCTAAATAGATTCAAAATATGTTGTCCTGAGTTTAAAAACACCCAGTATTTACATGCTGTATATAGTTATAGGGCTATAAGTACAAGTAGGAAATTGCTGTTTCAAAAAATATATTTTAAACATTTATCAATAGTGACATTGTAACAGTTATCTGTCATAAATCTCTGAATCACACCTCACATGTACATATTTTTTTAAAGTAGACAACCCAGGGTATCCAATATCGGGTATGTCCAGTCTTTTTTAGTAGATAGTCACAAACGCTGGACAAAGTTAGCATTTATATTTGTGTGTTAAAAATGCAAAAAACTATTATGGACGCTAAATTTGGCCAGTGTTTGTGACTAAGTGGCTATTAAAAAAGACTGGACATACCCCATTTTCAAGACCTTGTGTTGTCTTACTTTGCAAATTGTATACCATCATGGGGTAATTCTCATTCCTGGGCTACAATACGTTCTCAAAGGCAACATAACCAACATGGCAAATTTAAATGTAAAAAAAAACACTATAAAACTTGTACATGGGGGTACAGTTATACTTGGGAGACTTCGCTGGATACAAATTTTAGTGTTTCAAAACAGTAGAATGTATCACAACAATTATATCATCAGTGAAAGTGCTGTTTGTGTGTGAAAAATGGCAAAAACGTCACTTTCACTGACAATATCATCACTGTGATATGTTTTACTGTTTTGAAACACTAGTATTTGTGTTTAGCGAAGTCTCTCGAGTAAATCAGTACCCCCCCATGTACAGGTTTTAGGGTGTCATGGAAAGCTACAGGGTTAAATACAGGGCTAGCAAATTAAATTCTCTGGACTTTCGGCCTCGGCTCTCAGACAGGTCCCTCAAATTGCAAACAATAAAATTACTTAATTATGTAAAAATATAACATAAATATGCACATAGAATTTAAATATATATACATATTTATATATTTGAAGTCTACGTGTATATTTATGAAATTATTTATGTAATTTTGTATATGGATATATATTTCGTATTATTTTTTATTTATTTATATATACATAGATATATAATTTAATTCTAATTTCATTTTGATATTTCTATATATATCTATATATTTCTCTCTCTCTCTCTCTATATATATATATATCTATATATATATATATAGATATATATATATATATATACATATACACACACATCTATCTATATCTCTATATATATCTATATCTCTATATATCTCTATCTATCTCTATCTATCTATCTATATCGCTATCTATATCTATATCTATCTATATCTCTATATC